TACAGTGTGAACGACTGTTGATATACCTGTCTCTATTGCTTTTTTTTTTTTTTTTTTTTTTTTTTGTAATACTGTATTTAACAAAATCACTCTACTAAATATAGGAAAGTTTAAGACCTGTCACAAATTATTAAATGGGAATTAAGAAGTTCCATTTCACACCTCCTGGGGATACAGCTTCTCAGCTTTCAAATTCAATTTCATCCAGTATACTAATTTTATTATTGATACTCTAGTAGTATTTCATTAAAATTAATAAGTGTTATCAATAACTAACGTTAGGCCTATCTTTGGAATTAAAACTCTGCTTATTTCCCCTCAGTTTAAAATACAACTTTGGCTTGAATTTTGAAGTTGAAAGAATTAACTCACCTAAGCCTAAAGATGAGTACATTCGCAATATTACTATTAGTTTATTGCTCTAAACTAAAGTCTAATCCTAAAAAAGGATCAATCACTGAACGCATTGCAATTTGCAGAGCAATAATACTTCGGTAGTTAAACCTGATAAACTTACCTTCAGTTGTAAAATATCAACAAGAGATAGACATTTTTATTAGCAAAACGAAACATGTAACAATCTAACTCCAAAAAGCTAAAGTAGCCTACATAAATCACTGAACACATGAAAACTCCGTACGAGTGTCAAATGTTCACTTTACCAAATGATGTAAGGACTTAATAAAACGCGAAACCAGAACACTTCATTAAAACCCGCAACAAATTAAAAATACATAGTTTTTACTTATAGCAAAAAGGAGGAAATAGTTAAAATAATTAAAATGGAGATAAACAACAATATGAATTTACCTTTTAGGCTTTCCTAACAATAAAAAAGAAAAGTTGTAACCATTTAGATAAAATTAAATGAGTGGAAAAAATTGGATTCGTTATAAATCACCCACCATTGTTCAATACTGTCAAAACACAAACTTTCAAATGCCTGAGGATAGAGGTTATGACCTCTATCACCTTGTACAAATATTATTTAAAAATATGAGTCAATGTGAACATAAAAGTGTTTAGCATATGCATCCTATAAAAGGATTTAAGTTACTATTAGCTTCTTTCTTATTTCTGTTTGAATTACCAATAGCTTAATAACAAAAACAGTGTTGTAAACAGTGGAGGCGTTACAGGGGAGGGAGCATTTGCCCACCCACATTCCACCACCCCCTCCGTTTAGACCAAAAAAATTAATCGTACATACATAGAGCAAATGTAATGTGAATAAGGAGAAAACACATTCTTCGCACGCGCACTACCGTTTTACGGAATGTTATTGTTTTTGTATGCTAGAAGTCAACCAGATATATCCTACAGTATTAGGTATTACCTTTAACCCTACTAACTTTTTATAATACTGGTACTACTGCACTAAATAATTATTTATTTGATCAAATAATGCTCGAAAGAACATTATTCATCAATCCACTTTTAAAAGGACTTTTTTATCTCCCCCCCAAAACAAAAATTGTTAGATATGCTAGAATGGTCTAAAACCTTCTGATCGTTTCCAAAGTCTGTAAATACTTTGGGGCTTCAAAGCTCAATACAAAGTACTTTTTAAAACCCAACGTTGGCTCAATGTAATTTTAGCACGCTAAAATTTTTTGGTGA